TCCCGGACAGCACAAACTTTCAAGTGACATCTTAAAAACATTCGAAGTGCGTCCTATGTATGTTATCTTAAAACATTAAGTAGTATAACAAATTTAAGTTATATAACTGTAACGACAGTTGCTCCTTATTTATATAAATCATTCCAGTATTAAAAATAAAGTAAACTGAGGTTTTACGAGAACAACATATAATCGATTAATGGTACCATTATCTTGTAAGTTTGCTAAATGTTAATCAGTTTAGAAAAACTAAATGTAACAATAAAACATCCCACATTTCTACGTAGTACTGCCAATTGTATATAAGTATATTGACATACAAATCGTCTACAAATTTAATATTGATGTAATGATTGTTGTTTCACGTCAAAACAATGATAAACAAATTGATGATTATAATTTGGCATGAATTGTGTTCACACTATTCTTGCTGTTTAATTTACTTGATTTCATGTAGTTTCTGAAGTCAAATAATGATGAAACATAAATATCTATTTCAAAAAGAGAGTAAACTCTAAATTTTCTGTGATATCGTTTCTTCACGCACACAAAAGAATAAATAATTCTTGCTATTCAGTTCACTTGTCTTGACTGAATTCTTCTGCTAAAATCAGTAGTAAATAAAAGGTTGGCGTCCATTTCAAAACGAGAGCGAAGACCACTTCTTGTTTTCGACAAACTATATCCTCAAATATGTAGAAAAGCACTGAAGTAATCTACTCGAGTTTTGCTATTCATATATTATATATATGTATGCATATAAGTAGTATAATTAACACCGTTTTAATTATAAATTAAATTTAAGTTTAAAATAATAAAAATATTCTTTTCTAAGGCATTATATTTTTTATACAGGGTAGATAACAAGTATCGGTACCGCAAAAAATCTTAAAAACTAGACATTAATAAAAAAAGATTTCAGATAAAAGTTGTTGGGCTTAAAAGAATCTATTTATCAATTGTATCAATATGACTTTAGAAAGCGCCACTAAGGTCAAATCAAGAACACATTAATTTTTTTAAATAAAACACTCTACTTTTAATTGCAGATTTTTGTAGCTTAATTCAAAAACTTTCCAAAACATTATATAATAAAGATTATTTTCATTAAGCAGTTTTTGTTATGAAAGTTGAATATTAGAATATCCCGGAACTTTTTCTACAAAGATGATTTTGATTAAAACAAATTTTGTGAGCAACTAATGCAGAGAATTGACAAAGAATTTGATTTCCTAGTCAACATAGTTATTTTAAATAAAGCAACATTTGAAATAAATGATAACGTCAATAAATAATGTTAATACCGGCGACACTCTAATTCAACCCTCATACGTCGAAAAGTACTTAATTAAAATAAACTATTACAGAGTCTTGAAAAGCTCTTAAATTAAGCTTTAAGAATTTGCAAGAAAAAGTAGAATGGTCCATTTAAAAAAATTCAAGGTGATCTTGTCCTGACCTTGGGAATGTCATTCAAACTGATAAAATTAGTAAATAGATCCTTTAAACCTCTACAATTTTATTTGAAACACTTCTTTGTAACATGCTTAGTTTTCAAGATTTTTTGCATACCGGTACTTTTTATACGCTGTATATATATGTACATATATTTAATTGTTTACTTATATATAAAAATAAATTTATTTATTTATTTGCTTATTTATTGATGCATTTTATTTTCTTAAATATTATTGTTTTGACTTCTGTTGTCAATTGTAACTCGTGTAAAGTGACTTTAAAATAATCATAACACTCTCTATGTATTGCGCGTCTTTTTTATGTTGTATTCTTTTTCTTATCCCAGACAGCATAGACCTGCAAAGTACATCCTACAAACATCCGGAAAATGTGTTATTTTTAAGGACGCACTTCGAATGTTTTTAAGATGTCACTTGAAAGTTTGTGCTGTCAGGGATATTTTTTCAATTTTTTTATCTATTTTGTTTGTTCTTTCCTTATCTATTTCTCCTTCTTTTCTATCTTCTTATTCCATCTATCTTTTCTACTTCTATCCTTTCTATCTAAACAATTTTATACTATAACATGTAGAATTATTTCAATTATTTTAATAATTATTGTTTTCATGCTAAAAAGCGTATATATAAACATTTATTACAATATTGAACAAAACAAATGTTTTACATTGTTTTTTACGGAAGAAACCAC